ATGTGTTAGAGAGGTGATGTGACTTAAATAAGATGATGTGACTTAAATAAGATAATGACTTTTTGACTTTTTGTCTTTTTTCAATCATACCAAACTTGACTTTAGTATGCATCACAATCTTATGCCAAGAGCCAATTTATAGACCCAAACAAACACTCTATGTACATAGAAGTTACCAAACGACACCAAAGTACACAGATGTGAAATTAAAAATATTTGCATCTATAATTACGAATGTATTCATATTTATAATTACAAATATTTTATCTCATATTTATGTATTTTGTATCTGCTTCTTTTTGTGTATATAGACCTTTTACCCCAGACAAAACCTTGTAGAGGGTGAATTTTATGAGCTTGAATGGTGGTGACTGACGACTGATTCCATGACTGGATTTGATAAATGTATGCAACTTTTGAGGGGAAGTTTCTTGACTTTGTTGAGTCATTAATGCTCTCTCTCTCTCTCTTCTCCCAATAGATTAGAACTAAAAAAAGACCTCACTCTTGCCAAAAATGTTTTTCTTGGTTTGATTCTTCTTATTAGAAAATTTGACTTGGTGGGTTCAAGAATGTTGGCCCATATTATCACTTGGAAATCTACATTTTGAACCCGGCTTTGCATTTAATTGCTCTTCCTTCCTAGAAGACATGCTATATTGAAAATCTACATGTCTTTTGGAATCACTATTATATTAAAATCATTATTCAAAATTATGTTGTCAAATGCTACTATTATTTTTGAATAAGTAGGGTGGTGGACAGTTGTTTTTAGGCCATAGTCAGTCACCCTTACAAATTTAAGTTATAGACAAATCATAAGCATAATGAAAGTATGCCATTTTTTATAATGTTACAATAATGAGTTTCATTCTACTCCACTCTTCATTCGAATAAGGGAGAATTTTAAGTCATAGGTTTTTAGTAAAATTTCTACTGAGTTCTATTAACAAATGAACAAGTTCTGTTAACATAGTTTTAATAGGACTTAATGAAAATTTTATAAAAAGGAAGTAGTACTTATTTAATAGTTTCCTTTTTTTATCTTCCTAATTCAGGGGGTCACTTTTTGCCAGTGACAAAGATTGATTATTTCTTCTTCATTATGGGTAGGGATGTAAGAAAAATCAAAAAAATTGACTAAGCCGGTTGAATCAAATCGAACCGGTCATATTTGGTCAGTATTTTAATATTAATTGGTCTGCTCGGTTTTGAAAATTATTTTTTTCCAATTTTCAGGTCGGTACCAATTTTCACATATTGTATACCGATTTTCACCGAAACCGACCGTAGATGCTAACATATAAAAAATTATTGTTTTAAGTTTTGGTTTTATTTTGATATTAAGACTTTGGTTCTTAAATTATATTTTATTTCTAATTCTAATTCAGTAAAAGTTTCATGCATTAGTATTTATTATTATTTTTTGTTTACATTTTTGTGAATAGTTGGATTGGATATGGTTAAAATTATGTACAAATGGCTAATTTAATATTTTTTTTTATAGATTATTTATTATACTACAAATTTAAGAAACGACTCATTTTGAAAGTACTTAAACCGATTAAACCAAAGTGAGCCGAACCGTTTGAATCGGTGCGGTTTGGTAAAAAATTTGGTCTGTATCGGTTTTCAACATAATAAAACCAACATTATTGATTCGGTACAAAATTTCACCTAAATACCAATCGTCCCAAATTGATTACGTTCCTAATTATGGGGCTATTTAATTGTTTATTTCTTCTCAAATTTGGTCATTTCTTGTTGTAATTGTTGGGAAGGTGACCATTGGATTTTCTAGGTATGTGTTTTTGGATACTAATGGTCTAGTTTAATATAATTCTTCGTACACTTGTAATTAATCTCCTACGGATTGATATTATAAAATAAAAATAAAAAAGGCGCATTTGTACTACAACAAATTAGTGATGATAGAAAGCCCTACAATTTGATTAATGAAAACAAGATTTTCTTGAATAATTATTAAGTATTAGGAGCACCAACTCAACACATTAACATAATGCCCTAGACAAATAAAGTCACTAGTTTTTTTTTTTTTTTTTTTTTTTTTTTTTTTTTTGACATTGTAAATCTCTCAATTTGCTTTTTTATGGTCCCATTGGTCTCAAACACCATGTGCACATGACACAATGATATTCCTAAACTACTGAATAATTTTTTGGATTTACCATCTCACACAAACTCTACATTGGTCGATTGTATGGCCTCAGTGACTAAAGAGCACCACCTGCATATAATAGCATAGCATCCATATGGACAAATTGTTAATTTTGCAAAATGTTTGTAGATTAATAGAGTTAGATTAACACAACCGACTAACGCTACTACTACAATAGACTGATGCCACAAAAATTTTAGTTTGGTTGCACTAATATTGATGTGTTAGGGAGCCCTACAATGTGCATATTATTCGCCGCATCACACGCTGGTGTAGTCTTTGGTACAAATCAAAACACAAACTTGGCTTGGTAGTCGCTACCCAAAATATTCTTTAGAAACATCCACTTTTATTATCTTAATTCACATTTAATGACTTTGGGTTAAAAATAGGGGAACTTACTGATAAGTCCCATGTAACAAGTTCAAAACCCAACTAATCCCAAAACAAAATACTTGAATCAATTAGTCCAACACATTTTTAATTGTTACCAAAAAATCTTTTTTTTTTTTTAATTTATAGACACTGTTCACATCTTACTACCGTCGGACTTCCGTTTAACGGTCGCCGGAGACTCACCGGAATGTCTAGAATATTGCCGGAAAAAAAAAATTTAAAAACATGTTATGAAACTGTAAAATTTTACAGTTCTAAAGAATGTTATAAAACTGCAAAATTTTACAGTTTTAAACCATGATTCATTCCAGCACCAAAAAAAAAATTTGAAACTGCAAAATTTTACAGTTTTCACTGCCTGTAACTAAAACTCGAAAACTGCTTGTTCAGAATTCGAAAATTTTCTCTATTAGAACAGAAAAATAGAAGTGTATAGCAGAGAGAGAAAAAAAAAGAGAGATCGAAGGGGAAAGACGGATGTCTAACCAAATCTGTGTAGATCTACTCAGATCTGATGTAGATCTGAGTAGATCTATATCAGATCTAAGTAGATCCATTCATCTTCTTCGTCGGAAAATATATCATCTTCTTCGTCGGAGTTGATTTCAATGCTTGGTGGTTATCAATGAACCCCGATCAATGGAGAAAGATATGATCACCGGCGGTCCTCTTCCATGACAAACACGGTGACAGAAAAATGTAGAAAAAAAAACGAGAGAGGAAGGGAAGCAAAAAGCAGAGAGAGGGGAAAGGACTTTTGGGTGTAGTGAAAAAGTTATGGGATTAAATGGAGATCACATGTTTCCCATGCGACCTATGGGTAATTTCCCCTTAAAAATAAGACAAAGATTACAAAATTGTCTTTATCTGTTCCAAAATATTTAAATTTAGTCACTTCATTTAAAGAACCCTTTTTGTATCTTAGAAGTTTCTTTGACATTGGAACTAGGAATGAGATGCTCTCTGATTCTTGAGAAGATCAAATTTTGGTTTTCTAAATTGTAGAAAAGTCATTTGATTTGTTAATTTTATAGATGTTCCATGGTGCATATCTATCAAGCTTTTGCTATTTGAATTCATATTATATTGCTAACAAACAAATGCTTAAATTGCAGAGTATCTTATTAAAAAAATAGAAAGACTACCTGCAAGTGGAAGAATGAAAAAAAAAAAAAAAAATTATCAACATATGGAGGGGTGCAAGTGACACTTGTACCCTCACAGTCTTTCATTTGCATCGACACACTTGTACCTCTATGTGTTTGTAATTTTTTTCTCCTTCTCCCACCTGCATGTAGTTTCTTCTTAAAAAATCATATAGAATGATGTAATAGTTATATTTTTGTAATTATGAATCAGATTGATGATTTTTTTTTTCTTCTTTCAATGAATAGATATAAATATGTCACATCATTCTGTATGAAATTTTTGTATACAAATTTTATTTATATGAATTTATTTATTTATTATTATTGTTAGTCAATGGGTGTGGCAACAGAATCAGTCAAAGAACCAACTTTGTTGTCAAAGTTGGCAAGGGCCTATAAATCTCATATGAAGAGTCATGAACTCGAATCTGTAAAGATGAACTGATGGTTAAAAGTTTTATCCATCACTCTCTCTTGCAACATCAAGACTAATTAGGCTCGGTAATGACTTGATATATGAGTGACGAGAAATTACATATGAAGTAGACACTTTGGCCATGTTTGTTTGGATGAATTGGATAAAAGAGAATTGTAATCTACTAGATTGTTAATCTTGAGATATGTACTATTTAGTTGAAAATGAAGTATATCCCATGTTTGCTGTGAAACACATGGATGGATGGTTTGACTACATTCACTTGTAGTCTTCATAGATTTAGGCTTGATAGGTGAAATTTGTTGTGAAACATATAGTTGACAACATCTATTTTGTAGCCTTCACGGTTACAGTAACAGTAATTTTTTTCTACTATTTTGCACAACATAGTAACTTTTACATTTTGCACCATCTCATTTTACCATATAAAAACAGGAATATAATTTCTACATTCCAAAACATATATAAGAATTTCGATTGTGATGATCCAATACTATTCTTGATAGTTCGAGAACTAACTTCACTATATCTTGTATTTAACATATTAAAATCTCTTCAACGTTTCCTTAGTTTTATAACACAAATTCATGCATTATGGCCTCTATATGTAGTTGAGGTTGGAATTGATCACTCATACTGATTTATTTTCCAAAATTGATGTCTCAAGAACCCCATATTTATTTGCAAAAACTATTGCACTAAAATACTATTGAAGATATATTCCATTATATCTCCAAAAACAACTATGCTATTTGCACAGAGAGAAAGGAACACAGAATGCACAGATGTGAGACAAAAGTGAACATCTTGTCTCACATCTATGTATTCTACATCCGTAGACTTTTTGCTGCAAAAATCAGTTACAACTATATTAACCAATTTCTCAAACTGTACAACTCAATTTGGGAGACACATTAGAAAGAAGTTTACAAGTGTACAACTAGTAGTCTCCTGCTACGCAATGCAACTTCTCTTTCTTCTATTCTCCTCTTACTGAATGTAAAAACAAAAAAACAAAACACAAAAAACATAGTCTGCTCAAGGACCTGGTGTTGCTTGGACAATGCAACCTAGATTTCATTGACTTTTTGCCATTTCACTATGCTTTTTACCATAGATTTTCCTCCAATTCCACTATCCTCTTGCATTTCATAATGTGATCCAAATTCCTCATTTTGTTCCGGAAAATGGAGTTACTTGGCTTAAACAAGGATGTGTTCACCATCCACATTCTCATTCTACTTCCCTGTCCAGTGTGACAAATTGATGAGTCACTCAGAGTTCTCGCATATTTGGAGCTCTTGATGAGGCTTTTGAGCTTGTATTGCTGAGAGTTCATAGATAAGTCTGTTAAATATTCCATTGAGAACATGTTATGATTCAGTACAGAACAGACTTTCATCTTCTCCTCTTGACATAGACTGCCATGTACCTGCAAAATTAAAACAGAACTCAGTCCAAAGCATCACAATTTCTAATGAATACTACAAACAATATATCTACTTCTAAGTGAAAAATTCAAATGAATTTCGGCTATGGTAACGTTTTACGTTTACAGTTTTATGCTTATATGTTTACAAAAAAAATTGAAAATAATGAACAAAAACTCATTTAGTGTCTATTTTTGTTTATAAAAACAATGTAAACAGTGAAATTTGCTAAATTTTTGTTAAAAATAAGGGGTTTGTTTTCTCTTGTTTTGAAAACAAGTTTCATTAACTATCTTCAGCCACTGCTTCTTGCTTATTTTTAGAACAAAATCTTCAAAACATTTGTACCATACATGTTTTCATTTTCATTTTTATCATAAATAAACATAAACATGTTTAAAGTTTTATGAAAATAAAAAAATAATTAACAGTAAATTATCAGTTTCTGACAACTAAATCTATAATTCAAATCGAAGCCAACTAAATTTCAGGATTGTGCCCTTTGAGAGTGCTAGGTACCAACTGAGTATGAGAAATTTAACACAAATTTTGCAGTACTTTACACTTTCTGATGCAAATTTAAATCAATCAAAAACTTTGTCTTAATTTCGAAAACAGTAAATTACCTTAAGATAAGCGTCGATAGCTAGGTAGATTCTGTCCTGAGAGTCTCTGGCGAAATCTGGAAGCGCAGTGGCTAACGCCACAAACTTGGAAGGCTTCAAATGGCGATCCGGGGCCACTTCTGCAATGTACAAGTCCATCAAGCACGCAACTTTCTTCAACCGGTATGGGGAGAACCGGTTTTCAGCCAAAAATAATTTCAGCAGCCTCAGAACCAAATTCACATCATACATATATCTCTTCCCATGTGGAGATGGAACGAGCAAATCATCTATTTTAGCTCGATCCAACTTAGAACCAACCAAAACCTCTAACTTGTTCTGGTAAAATTTGCTTATTTTCAAACACAAACTCATTCCAAACGTATCAAATAGGCCCCTGCAAGAAATAGCGCTCCTATCGAGCAAGAAAAGCAGATTGATCACAACCTCAATGATTTTTCGCTTCTTGGCTTGTGAAGCACCATGAAATTTAGATCTTTGATAGAAAAAGAGAAATGAACATATTGTTGCGTGGTCGAATTTTTGTGTGATCATTGCATTTATAACCTTTTCGAACAAATTAATGTTCATAAAAACAAGATCTTCAAACCACCAACTAGTTGATATGTAGCTTTTCGCACTGTGACTACTTGAAGAATTAGAATTCTCCGAAGAAGAAGTAAAAGGACTTTCAACATTAAGCAAAGCAAGCCTTTCTACAAACAAATCCAAGAACTTGGGAAGTATACTTGAAGAATTCAAGGTTTTAAGAAAATCATGGCATTGTTTCAAACTCAATAGTAATTCAGACCAAGTCCAACATTGGATTCCATCAAAATATCTCTCGGTTTGTTCTATCAAATCGGGAGTTTGAGAACCGCCTTTCTTGATTTCCATGAACTTCGCAGCGCAATGCAGTAAAAATATGTTAGAGAGAGTTATGTCAATGTTTCCATAATTGTAGCAAAACCTCGTGATTAGCTCAAAGCCCTCCGCGCCACCTGGAAAGTCATGGAATATCACTTTCATTTGACCCGTCTTACCCGCCATTTTACCAAATATTTTGCTTAATCTACCAGAGAAAGTTGCAAGAATTTTCTGCCCCCCAAAAAAAAAAAAAAATTTACATGAATTGACTAATAATTTAAACATTAGTTACACAAAGGAAAGACAGTTCTTGGCAAGAAAAATGGAGATTAAAATTACCTTGTCTACAAAGAAAATCTTTTCGCCGTTGACATCTACTTGAAGATCAGAGAAAATTCCCATTTGTTCAAAGAAATAAATCCCAAACTCCAATCTCTTGCACAACCCAGAAAAGAGATAAAGATTTTCTTCAATGGGTGGTGAATACTATTGAAAGCTATGTTCATAAGAAATGGAGTTATTAATGGAGACAAAGAGAGAGAGAGAGAGAGAGAGAGAGAGACAAAAGAAAGAAGAATTAGAAGAGAGATGTGAAGAGCAATGTAAAGGGACAGTGAAGGGAATAAGAACCATCTGAGATATTGAAATTGGGTCCAATATATAAAATATTATGGAACTTGGAATCATAAGCAGACCTATTGAAATTGGGGCCCAATATATATATAGTTATAGTTATGGTTAAGGTCATGGACCATTGGACACTACCAGTCATAAGTCTCTGCTTTTTGCCACCAATTTTGGTAGTGGGATGATTTGACTATGAGATCAACTTTTTACTAGAAGGTACACCTTACCAAAAGCTAGCTTTGACTGCCAAGCATTCACAGTACCAAATAAGTGAAGAAAAGTATGTCTTCAATAATACCATTAATCTCAATTCTTATAGGCTTTGTGTATGCTTCAATAGTGATTGGTAAACATTGAGGGACAAGGGAGGAGAGATTAAATTCAAGAGAAGCATGATAGTTTGGCTTTCCTAATATATTTGGCCTTTTCTAATATTGTTAGGGGTAGCATGGATCTTGATAAGTATTAGACATTAGTCACTCAATCACATATTCAACAAAGCTGTATTTGAATTAAAGATATTTTTGGTAGTTCAATACTTTATATCTGTTGCCCTACTTCTATGTATATATACTTGATGGGGTTGTTATATGGGTATTTCTTGCGTAACCATTTATGATAATAGTGAAACTAGAATGACCTCAAACCTAACCATAGTTTTGAGAACCATGCAAATCTTGTATTTTTTCGTATACGTGTGCTTTATAATTCTAGTGCATTTATTGTATTGTTCTCTATTTTTCATGTTTCACAAGTCTTTATTAGATATTACTACTAACAATACTTTGTTTTGTTATTAACAGTTCTAGTGGATTAGCACACAATTCAGCTATTTTGGTACATTCTATAAGTTAGGTGTGAGTTCACAAGAAATGAAATCATTACATCCTAAAAGTCTAAAGTTTCTAGCTGGTATGGAGTGTGGACCCTGAAACTGAGATAGCATTTGTTCCACACTGCACAGATTTGGATATTATCAATTTAGACGCCTAATTCACATGTCTGAAACTAAACATAAAGTAGATGATTGGTAACTTGTTAGGGCCTCTCCAAAAATGGTTGATTTAGTCACAAAATACAACCGAACTCACAAACCTAATGTTCACACAAACACTAGTGGAAGGATGTTATGCCGAAATCGAATAGTTCCAATTATAAAATAGTAAAAAAATAAATAAAACTAATACATAAAAAAGAAAATTTATGTGATTTGACAATGTATCTATGTCCACAGTAAAGAGATCAAACTCACTACATGCAAGAATACATAGTTTCAAACATCTCAATTCAGATACTACAATGCTATTACAATCTAAACTCCAACTCAAGGTCTCAGCCTATCTCTGTAAAAGGCCTTTTATAGTAAATTTGAGTGTATAGTAAAAATACAAAACGCTTTTAGTACAACTTATATTTATAAAAAAGAGTCAGCGTAGTACACAACGTTCCTACTAAAGTGAGGTTTGGGGTGGGGAGGGCAAGACCCAAACCCTAAATTTCAATGTCACAATCGTGTTCAGTATTGGAACAGATATTGGAACCGATTATGTGAGAATCCTGCGTTAAAGCTCAATTGGGGCTTTTGACAAGAATCGGAAAATGAAGGCTGTGAAGAATGAATTAGGTTTAAAAAACAAATCCATGGCATGGAAAATTCATATAGACATCTACCAAATCAAAAGCTTACAAGCAAAAAGTAATCATATATTCTTCAATGCCAACTGTGAATTAGTTTGAATCAACCTCAAAACAGCATTGTCAAAGAGTAGGAGATGAATCTTTTGTCAGTTAAAAAATATATAAAAACTTGTGGCTATGTCACTACAATTTATTTAACAAGGTCAACAACATCTGCTTAATCTAGTTAATTTAATGTTAAGAATGACCAATAAGATTGATCGGCTCAATTTGTTGACAAAAATAACCACGAAATGCCAAGTAAAAATTGACTTTTAGGGTAATGGTAACCATATATAATCCTCCATTCTCGGTGTTTTTTCAATCAGTTCCATGTTTCTTGACAACAAGTTTCAATATTTGTTTTTCAAAACATGTTTAGGAAACTACTTATGCTCCATTTATTTGGGTGAAAAATATTTTTTGGAAAATGTTTTTCATATTTTCTGGTGTTTGGTACAAAGGAAAATGAAAGGCAACGGGGAATATTTTTCATGGTCAACGAAAAACAAATTTATTTGAGGAAAAAAATGTTTTCCCTCTTTAAAAGATGGAAAACATTTTTCAAAGTAAAATTTTACTAATGTTACCACACCACCATCACTACGGTCACCGCCACCATTACTGTCACCATCACTACCACTATCATGCCACCACCTCCACCTTCACCTTCGTTCCACCGCCACCGCCACCACCACCAAATACAGAAAAATGTTTTTATTCTGAAAAAAAAAAAAAATTTCTATTGAAAATATTTTTTATTAGAAAATGTTTTCCGCTCAAACAAATGGAGAGTTAAATGTCTAATCTATGCTAGGTTTTGTTCTTCTTTACACTGATATAACATTCTTGTAGCCAAACAAAACATATAAATTTAATATTCAGGTTTTTCACATGCATTTGTAAGGTCAATTTTAAAAGCTAAATATATGATCCGCTAAGTTTTTTTTTTTTTTTAAATTGTGTATAGGCGTTATCAAATAAAGAAAAACTTCATCATCTTTACCAGCCGCTCCGTTATTTGACCAAACAACCCTTGGTGTTCTGCAAAAACTACAGAGAGCCAATATGTTGGGTTGTGTTTTCATTTTAATTTTTTTTTTCCTTCAAAAACAAAACAATGAAAAGTTTGAAATCACCAATAGTTTCATTTTATTCTATTTATTATGCAAAAATAATTTTCAAAATTTGAAAATAGCTTTCTACTATTTCCTAATCGTGTTTTTTTAATTATTATTATTATTTTTTTTTTATGAAATTTTGGCGAACATTTCACCAAATAAATTTTCTATGTTTATTGAAAAAAAGAAAACATAATATGGAAAATGAAATCATAACTGTTTCTTTTACTGCACATTTCGGCGATCTTTTAAACATGTCCACAATACATTCATGTCCCACATTTTATTTTTAAAAAGGAAGCTTTAATCCATTAAAGACAAACAACACATTGTTAGATTAATTTTTTTTGTTTGGAAAGAGAGAAAGAAATAAAATATAGCCAAGTGCTTATGCTTTAGCAGTTAGTGCATGATTTTAGTAGCATACATTAAATTGAGGGTCCTTTATTTCCTTTCTAGCCTATGCAGTGCAGTACCATGAAATTCTTGTTGGATCTTCTGTCTTGCTATGGCTGCAGTGCCAAACATGTGGCGGCACCACCACGTGTGGAGGAACCCGGTGTCACAGCTCTGCCTTGCAGCAAGAAGGGTAAGTTAGCAAGGCGGAGCTTGGTGGTGACAACAGTGCCGTGGAGGCCATCGCTGTGCACAATTTCTGAAGACGATGTTATCAAAGTGGAGAAACCAGAAGGCTCTGCCAAATTATGCAACAAACCGAAGGGAGAGGAGATATACGATCGAAGGCCAACTTAGTGCATTCTAGGTATGACTCAACTTCACACAGATCTAATCATTTCTATATGCTTATATATCTGATAGTTTTAACTTGATGTTAAAAGGTTATTTTGCAGCTATCAAGCTCCCTATGAGACAAGTGTTCACACATTTTTACCAGTAGGGTTGTTATTCTAATGAGTTCATTCATGTCTTCTTGTTGAAGCCACATGTGAATCCAAAATGTAAAACATTTGGTTCTTGTAAGATGTATGTAGAAGCACTTCAGTATAAATTGATGCCACATGATTTCATAAAAGAATCACTTTGAAAGCAGAATTCTCAATTTCATATGCACCATTTGATTGTCGAATTTGACGAGGGAAAAGAAAATGAAGTGACAGGTCGTCACTTCAAATTTGAAAAGGGTCACCTCTAGGCACAGTTTTAAACCAATGGCACCCCTAAACAACAATGGAGAAAAAAATATATTCAAAAAAAAATGAGAGGGCTTTGGATGTAATGAGAGTGAGAGAGAAGAAAAACAGTTTTTCACTTCATTTTCCATTCTTTTTCCTTTTCACCTCTCAATCCCCGGCACCAAACAGAGCTTAATCAAGTACTCTACACATACTACAAAATATTGTACACCAAGTGGTAATAAAAATGTCAAAACTGGCGGATGTTCCACTTCACTTGCATTGCCTTACCAATTTGACCAATGAAACAATTCAATAAATATAAACCAAACTCCACAACTCAGACACAAATTTATGAAACCATGACCACCAAAAGAAAATGAGAAGACAACAGCCAAAAATCTCATAAAAACCTTAACCAAGGCCTCAGTTTTAAAATTCAGCAAGCAAACGCCGATTAGGCTTTTTATCTCTTCATGAATATGAGAAATTTCTAATGGCAATTACTGATGGTTAAACATACAAATGGGTATTTATTTATTTTTATTATCTTTTTCTTGGTGGAGGAGGGGTAGCCATCAGATTTGGGGGAATGCAACACCCGATCTGGCAAATCACCGCCAAATTTTGATATTACGTTACAGGAGAAAACAAAACACAATCAAGTGCCTGCACTCATCATCACATCAGCATGTGTTTTCACACCATCAACCCACATCAACTCATCTCAATCTTCAAGGAAGAGATCGATGATCCCAAGTTCTTTCACTGTCTCATCACTTCTACCAACTGAACCCACAAGTGATGGTCTAACTTTGAAAAATTAGTAACCATTAATCTGAGGCCTCGAGGTTGGATCCATCAGCCGAGAGAAAGGTATCTGGGCCCGGCCAGGAATGAGCCGCTCCGTTATTTAGCTGTTTTCGGATCTGATACTGATCTTGAGAAAGCCTGGGCCAGCTCAACTGCCGAAGCTGCTTTCCCATAACGCAAACTGGGATTATCGGGAGAGGAGGGTTTTGGCTGCTCAGCTGGCTTGCGCCATGTCTCCGGTGAAGAAGGCCTCTCCTGTGGCAGCTGCTGGTGGTGATGGTGGTGCTTCTCGGTTTCCCTGTTGTTCCTCCAATTATCACTTCGCCAGTTCTTCCTCTGCATATCAGTCCTCTCGATGTCGACATGGTTATCCCGCCTATCATTGTTCTTTCTGATCCTATAATCAAGGAGATTATTCTCAGCTTTTTCGTTGTAGCGCGTAGGAGTTGAATGTGTTGGCACTGTTTCAGTTCTCGGAACATCTTGTTTGACCCTTCATGGAACAATTGATAAAGCACAGTTTAAGACAGGCTGCAATACAGGACTAAGAAATCTATCAAAGAAAAGAGAATGAAGATCAGTACCTATTGGCAGGTTGAGCACCACCAAAAACAGTGGTTCTGCATCAATCATGGATATCACAATCAATTGGTTACAGTAGGGGGAAAAAATACCATCCAAGGAATGCAAAAACCACAAAAACAAAATCAATCAAAATGAAACAAATAAAACAAAGAAAGGCTATTAAAAGAAAAAAAGGACATAATGTGTCATTTTTCATAACCACTGCTTAATTTAGGAAGATTGAAGGGTAATTACAAGGAAATATATATCATTCCACTACATTATAGAGTTCAAAGATATGGTTCTTTAGAGCAACTTGATTTCGTGAACTTTCTACCAAGACCATGATGGGAAAAGAAACACCTCTTAGGTGGTAAGGAACAAAGGTTGTGTTTGGATCATGGATTTAGATAGTTTAGAAAGGGATACGGAAAATGTAAGCACATTTGATTTAGATTATTTAGACTAATTAAAACTAGTGTAAACTTCAACATGAACATGTGAAACATAGCAACTCCCAACATTTAGGTATGGGGACACTATAACATATCATTTTGTGTTTGTGTTGTATACCACATGCTACCAATACCAGAGCTCACCAATCACTTAACCTAAATTGAGAAAAGAAAAATACAACCATTTGAGTGAAATTTTGCCTCTTCTATTTTAAGAAATTGAAATGGCAAGCTAACAACAAAATATCATAATGCAAGTCACCCTAATCTTCTGATTTGGCAACCCTAACATTTTCATTTCAGCAACACTCATTTCTTGAACATGTTTATTTCTAACTGCCCAACATTCAACATCATACATCATAGCAGGTAAGGGCATGTGCGGTGCGGTTTGGTGCAGTTTGAGGCTAAAAGAGAAACCGTGTAGTGGGTGGCGGATTGATAAATAACCGAACCACAGTATGAGCGGTTTGGGGCAGTTTCAATTTGCTTGTTGATTGAAGAATATTTTTAAACAATTATCAAATATTATAATATTTGTCGTATATATAACTACTAATTTATAACAAATTTCACATCTAAACCTCTCTTACACTCATTTTTACTTCGATATTTCATTAGAAATTTATATATATATATATATATGTGTGTGTGTGTATTAACTATAGCGCAGCAGAGCAATTTTGAAGACGAATTATAAATTTCAAAGTTTAATTAGCGGATAAATCGGTGCAAATTGGTGTGATTTTAGCAGATTGGACGGTATTTTGCATAGCTCTAATAACAGGTCTTATAGCATTCCTACAGAAATTTTCTTTCAAATTAATAGAAATTCTATGCACAAACAATCCTAATGCAGTCCCCCATTTCATCCATCCTCCCCTAATTCTAAGGGCCTAATAGCAGGTCTTATAGCATTCCTACAAAAAATTTCTTTCAAATTAATAGAATTTCTATGCACAAACAATCCTAATGCAGTCCCCCATTTCATCCATACTCCCCTAAACCTAATTTTAAGGGCCACATCCTTCTCAATCTCTCCACCTTTCTTGAAACTAATTTGAATAAATATCCTTTTAATATACTCTATAGCACATGGGACTTGTAATGCCTTTTCTCTTTGTCAATTATTCCTAATAAACAAAAGCTTCTCATTTAATGGAATGGAAATAAAACGTTTCCAAGAGAAACAAAAATAAAGAAGAAAACTAAGTACAATCTCTAACAAGTCACCAAAGTAGGCACAGAATTTTGACAATTGTTCCCTCCAATCAAAGCTCTTTGCTTGGTTCAAAAGTAAGTTGACGACTTTTAAAGATTGTCACCCAACAAAAAAGACACATTGGGCAAAATAGAGATATTGATTGATTTCACCAAAACAAGGACAACCTCTAAGAATTTCTACATCCACACTTATACCAAAATAAATAATATTTAATAGTACCAGCATCTCTCCGTGGTAATGCTACAACCATATGACCTAAATTTCTGTACTACTAGAAATTCATAACATTTACCCTCATGTTATGTTAACTTGTGCTTGCTGATACTTCCATCAATAATAATATATCATTTCAAACAGGGCAAAAAATATTGTAATATGTAACATAACTAGAAAACGTAAAATCAACTTCAATCCTTACATAATGTAGCACCATAACTCTCAATCTTGAGGTACGTGAATAAAATCAAAGAACATAATCAATCATGACCACCCCCAAAAGAAGAGTTGAGGCGGTTCAAGCTTCAATTAGGACAAGTGTGTATCTTAATATGTAGTTGTCCCAACACATATATTCCAACAGCTAAAATGTCACTCCAAATTCAACAAGATGAAATGGATAAGCAATTTCAAACAAATAATAGGTGAACTTCGCCATTGGGTTCTATGACTAGTCTACATGACTAATACACATTTTGTACTCTTACACTAAACCCACTATTAGTCACTTTTTAGACTTTCTATCTTCTATTCAGTTTAATAGGTCGTTGTTGTTGTCTAGCAGCAGAATGCGTTAGATAAGCAAAATAATGTAAATAAACGTGAAAAATCCCCAGCAAAAAGTAAACAAATTGCAAAAAATCATTAATGGAGATCATCCAGGGGAGTTTGTTAACAGCAACAAGACTAGTTACCGACCTTTCATTTTTACTGTTTCCTTGAGATTGTTCAAGAGGCTGAGACCGCGGCTTTAAATTCAGTTTTGGGCGTTCAACTGCCCGATTCCCACTGTCCGATCCAGGTAACACAGTGTTTGCATGATTTGCATTTCCATAGGATTCAGTAACATTTTCCAGATGATCAGAATTGTGTGTCTGCTGGTATCCCTACATTCAAGAGAAGGCAGGAACTAATAGTGAATGAGCAATTATCCCAGAGAATATACCAAACAGATATCATATGATAAAATACGCTGTACCTTTTTGTAATCAACAGGTGGTTCCAAACCCTCCAATGGCTTGGATCTTGGAAGTAGTTTTAACTTGGGACGCTCTGCTTGTTCTAAAGGCACTGGTGATTGCAACTCCGACCCACTGAATTTGCCATTACTACGAGCCGGGTGAACCCCCTCGACATAACTAGGAGTGTTACGCTCTACTGTTTCCGGGAATATAGGAGACCTGGCTCGCTCATAGGTTGGCAGCTCCTTGCCACCACCTCGAATCCCATGATCAAGAGTCAAACTCCTTTCAGCATGTCTTACCAACATTGCATCATCATATTCCACTCTATCTGCCACATCCATTGGATGGTAGCTGCTCTTGTTGTACAAATGACCCTTGGAGTGGAATTCACTCTCAACTGCAGCATGTCTAATGACCTCAACATCCGTTGGAGGATGATGGATCGATTGCTTAGATTGCCATCTCCCCGAAGAGACCTTTTCAAGCGCACTGGCATGAGCTAGCTTAGAGGCAGCATTCGGACCAGACCACATGGTATTCAATGACTCGGTGGTACTCACAGCCTCCTTCCTTATTGCCCACGCATTTGGATGCATCCCAGAAACAGCCTGCCCACTATTCCCACCCGTGTGTGAAAAATTCACACCCACATTAGCTGCATCAGAAAATTTTGCCGAGTAAGAAGTGTTTCCACCAAAGTTTTGAGAGTTTCCTCCCAAATTAGTTGTTTCAGCGACCCTCCCAGCATATGAACTCACACTACCACTAGACAATTGAGATGCCGGAGATGAAATCTGTTGAGTGGGCAATCTCCCAGTGGATGAATAAACGGGTTTAACCTCCGTACGTATAGGCAATGCACGAATGCTCTCATCACTAACCATTCTACGCGGACCCGACACACCATCTAAAGGTTTACGCTCATCCTCATCAAAATTCCGGCCAATGTGAGCACTAGGGCTCAAAAACGGGGTCTTATCATCAAAGTTTCTCACTGCCCCAGCAGACCCAGGTCGCAACCTATGATCGGATCTTGAATTAGGGTTTCCCCAGGACCCTTGGCGATCGAAACTGGGACGGTCTGAAGGCTTCACGATTCTGCCAAAAAAAAAAAAAATTGGAACTTTGACTAGGGTTTCCACTAAACCAGATCTACCAATTTGAACAATATGAAACCAAAAATACATAGAGACATATGTGTTTGTGTGGTCAGATCTATAAAAAGTGTAATTGAGATTGAAACATGAATTGATAAAAAGATTGAATTAGATGGGTAGATTGAAAAATTAGGGATTTGAGATGGGTAAAAAGAAAAAAGGAACTTACAATCCAGGAGCAGAAGGGAGAGGCAGATCAGATGGTATGGAACCGCCATGGAAGTCCTTGAGCGTCATGGTGGTTGAGCTTCCCGAAACCTTCTTCTTCGACATACTCTCTCTCTCTCTCTCTCTCTCTCTGAAATTGGTGTTTCTCTCTCTAGAAATCTAGCGGAAGGAAGGAAGATGGAGAAGAGAGAGAAGCAAAAGGGAAGGGAAGGGGAGGGGAGGGGAGGCGAGGCGAGGTTAGCTCTCTGCTTCACGGGTTTACTTGTATACATACGTATATATATTGTATGTTTCGTAGAGTACTGTAATTTTATGTTTTTGAGATCCATATACTACGATGACGTTTCTTGTCAAATATTGTTTAAACTGTGTCGTTGGTGTGCTGGAATATTATGCCTAGCGTGTTGTATAATACATTTTTTTTAGGGTAAAATTACAAATTATTCTTTATAATTTTTTTTGTTAAATTTTTTTTTTATTTAACAGAATTAATTAAAAAAATTATATTCATAATTGTTTTCCTCTATAATAATAAAATTGTTTGATTTATTAACTGAAATTATGGAAGCAAAAACTATCCCATATATTAATCGAGAGATCAATAAAGAATTAAGCCACACTGTTCCGAATCTGCAAAAGAATAAACAGCTAGTGTCTCTCAATCAACAGTTGCTAGCTGAAGGACACTTCGACAATCACATTAAATAACATATATCTAAATAAAACTGAATAAATAAAAATATTGGTTTAGGCATGCCTTCTCAAAGTTGAAGATTGTATCCGTTTATATAGACTAACTTGCCACTCAGTTTGTCCAATGAGCTTAAACTATCAATTTGGTCCAATGAAAATAAGCCGCTTGTATAGTCCAAAACTTATCTAATGCATATATGTCAAAGCAACTTAGCAAGTAGGCAAGTTGCATTGCAAATTATTTATTTTATTACCTTAATCTTTATTCCATGTAGGTATTGGGTAGGCCACCTCACATGGGTTAATTTTGATCCTTTCGCGTAAATAAATTTTTGACATCATTAAAATTTATTAATTGACTTAATAATTTACTAATGAAATGGGATATTTATTATGAAATTAGAAATTTCGAGAGACATGATGTAATTTCTAGAACTACTATGGGCAAATTGTATTTTAAACAAATCTCAAGTAACGCATTTATATTTTACCTTCTTTCTTTTTTTTAATGAGAAGTGGAAATTGTCACGACCCAAACCCGTCTCTATAGTTTAGCATCGTAACCAACTAGTAATCTATAGATTACCAAAGGGGCTCTTAAATAGAAATCAAATTATTAGGGACTAGCGGAAGCAAATAACAAATATACAATATCCATTGAGCTGTGCAGACATATATGAGATAGAAAAATCTTAAACTTTATATACATATATCATACATCACCCCTACGTCATCACATGTATACAGATAAGACAAAAAGAGACTTAGCTCTAATTACAGAATAATCATAAACTTAAACTTTAATCACATAGCCATAACCACTTGACATATCCGGGACCTCCACGGAAGACACATAGGTTGGCTGACAAGACAGAGTCCAGGCAGAAGCTCTTGGCCTTGTCATACGCATGATCACCTACATATATAAATAATACAGTGAACTGGAGCTTAGTGAATAACAACAATGTAAAGGGGTAATGAATGATGTCCTTTTAGTAATTTAAAACAGTCAATTTCATCAGTGAATCAATTTCTCAAATCAATATCTCATAGCATGTCAAATCATATCGAAATCGTAGCAGTTATACGTGGTATATCCATTAGCAGAACAGTACTGTAACAACCCCGACCTGTGATTAGCTTAAGACCTATGATTAAGAATGCTTAATAAGTAATTAAGATGAAATTATGTGTTAATTACATGTGTTATATGTTATATGCATTTGTATCTGTTTGTCGTAGAAATATCTGTTTACGTTTATGTTATATTCTGCGAATTGAAGGTCTTATTGGCACCCGATCACGAAATTGACTTAGGTTATGTGTTATTTGGAATTTTTAGTAATTTATGGTAGGTTTAATTGAAATTCGATTTGGAACGAATTAATTAGGATAATTAGTGTCAAATTAATTAGCATAACCGAGTTTAAGCAAGCCTTCTTAATTAAGCCTATATAAGGCAAATGAGACCTCTAGAATACACTTGACGTTCTCATTTTCATCATCCTTGAGCTTCAAACTGAGAGAGAAAGGGGGACCAAGGAAATTGAAATCAAACAAAGGAATTAACTTGGAATTCAAGGATATGGTTTGGAAGCTTAGAGTATTCACCATCTAGAACTTAATTGAGAAGTTGGGGTAAGGATTTATGTAACGATCCCGGTATTTCCCCATTTGGTTGTTGTATTCGGACTTAGGTTCCGTGGAGCTTGTTGTTGTATATATTTTGATGTCATCCTTTAATTCCTTATTTTTGAGTTATAGGATGTGTTGGGCAGGTTTGTTACAGGTTGGGTGTGACTGGGAACAAATGGTTGCTGCCCAGAATTTTGGTCCTTCACTCGAGCGAGCCTTTTGTCGCTCGAGCGAGCTCTGTGTTTGAGATCCTTCGCTCAAGCCAGGGTTCCTTCGCTCGAGCGAGAGTTGAGTTTTGTATCTGGTGGCTCGAGCGAGAAGTCCTTCGCTCAAGCTTACGTCTGCGTTTGATTCTGGACATGAGAGTCGTGTTTCTTGGCTCAAGCGAGCGAGGTGTTTGTTTTGGGTTTCTTCGCTCGAGCAAGCATTCTGTCGCTCGAGCGTGCTTCTGGGTTTCAGACCTGAAGCTTCGCTTTCTTGGTTCGAGCGAGGCTTTCTACGCTCGAGCGAGAGTTCCTTGTGTCTGGTCACTCGAGCGAGCCTGTGTTATATTAGTAGACAGCAGCGGGATTACACTTCACTTTTTCATTTCTTCTTTCACTCAAACCCTAGATCCGACCTCTCTCTCTCTATACATCTTCTCTCTAGGGTTTCATCTATTTTTAGTGTGTTTCTATCCTAAGTTCTTTGTAAGAAAAGTAGAGGGTTGCGAGGGCTTTGTTTTAATCTGAACGATAGTGGATTTGAAGCACCTTGGTTTTTCCTCATCTACTCCTTTGGGCTTCTAATTTCGAGGTAGGGATATCATACTCCTTCTTATGGGTTTTGACTTAAATATTTGTCATTTTAATTAGTTGGTGTTATTGGGTAATTTTAGAGAAAGTTAGGGTTTGGTTTGTAATTTATAAAAGAGGGGTTTTGTATTTAATAACTCCATGTGTATTTAAGGCATTGGAAATATGAGTTTGAGAGTTAAATTGGTGGAATTTGGTCTTAGGATCAATATTTGAGAAAAATGGAGAATGCCCTAATTTTTGTAAACAATTAATTTGTATAATTAATTTGGGAAAATGCAGGAATATGAAATTAAGTTGATATTCATGAAATTGGGAAATTATGAGGTTAAATGGTGTAGTTTGATGATTTAATCACTCACCTATGAGATTGTCGATATTTTATCTGTTGATGAATTTATTATCTGTTTAGAGATAACTGCTTTGGGCTATCGGTGGAGGATCGTCTTGATTGTTGTAGACACTGTATGTTGATTAGGGAAAACTGAAACTAATCGAACGTGTTATGTCATTGAATGTGATTGTTGGAATAATACAGCAAATACGTGTATTGATTGATCATGGTATGTAATGAAGTGCTTAAATACATTATATATGTATCTTTGTTTGGGAGGAGATAGGAGATGTACTCCAGTGTGTGAGAGGAGATAGGGGATGTACTCCACACACATATGTGTTCATATGCTTTAACACATTATGTATGTAACTTGTTTGGGAGGAGATGGAGGATGTACTCCATATGTGTTCATATACTTTAACACATTATTTATGTACTTCACACGTGTGTTCATATACTTTAACACATTGTTTGTGCATCTATGTTTGGGAGAAGATAGGGGATGTACTCCATAGATGGTTATATGTTTAAATACATTGTATATGTATCATAATTTGGGAGGAGTCGGGGAATGTACTCCATAGATAATTAAGTTGGCCGAGGCGTCCAGGGTGAAAGTCCCGAGACCTTATAAGGTGAAGTAATAGTTACATGAGATGTAGTCTCATTTTGAATCATGGGTAACGGAAGAGTTAACAAGTCGAGTGGTAGTCTCACTTAAATTGTTTGGTTAGATATTGAACCATAATTAGGAACTGATCTGGACAAATAAGGGAAGTGGATGTTAGCATAGATGAAATTGTTGTCGGGCTATGAGAATGGTGTGATTTGGTTTATACGTGTCGATCATTTGTTGTGTGATAATGTTTTAGTTATTTCTCATATTGGGTTTAGTATACTTCTACTGGGCTTTGGCTCACCCTACTTGGGACACCATTTTCAGGTACAGGAGACGTGCCAAGTTCAAGATCTTTACTTGGGAGGTCTTCGGAGTTGAAGACTCTGCTTTGTTATTTATTTTGTTGATTATATGTAAATACAAGCCGATGGCTTTACCTGTAAAAGAGTTAGAACTTTTCTTTTGATCGACCAAATAACAACTTGGAAAGATGTAAGCCTGCAAGGCATTCTATTATTATTTTTTTTTTTGTAAACGTTTGTAATCATTTTGAAATACACTTTTGTAATATTAACTCTGATGTTTCTATGGGAATGTAAATTATCTATCATGTTTATGGAAAGATTGGAAGCGGGAATTATGTATTATTTTTAGGGCGTTACAATTTAACTCGTTGAAAATATAATTATGATATCTAGGACATGAATTTTAAGAATTAAGTGGAGTAGTGCAAGAATTGAGCTTATGAAGTAGAAAGGAAGAGCATTTCATGCATATATGCATATTTTCTTACATTTTGAGTTTAATTGTAAAGAATTCTCACATGCATGTCCCAATTCTACCTTAGTTTTGAGAATTTATCATTTTTTCCATCAATATACCTTATTTGATCATGATTTGGAAGCTTTGAACTCAATCCATTACTGACATGTTATGTTTTCAAAGTTTTGAGTTTGATTTTGCACAATTGACATGCTTTTGGGTTTTGATTTTGCGAAATGATTTTGAATTCCCAATGTTTTACAAGTTTAGACATGTTTTCTCAAGTTTTGGGGCCCAAAGGTTGCACTTTGAGACTTTGAATTCAACTTTTGAGTTTGGGAGCAAATCTGGAAATTCCAGAATTCTGCTTCTCCACTCGAGTGATAGAACATGCGCTCGAGCGACC